CTATCCATCTGAGAAATGAATTAAAATGCAATGAAGAAATAGAGCCGTTTCTTAAACGCTGGACGAAACACAAACAAAACCAGGTTAGCTGCCAAGCTAGTTATTTTATTTCAGCTATAGTTTCCAAAACACATTTCTCATTTTTATTCAGTTTATCTTGTACTGAAAAAGATCAAAACAGGAATAAAAATTAATACAATAAGGTTCCATTAGGTAACTAACATGAACAATTCATTTATTACAGTATTTATTAATCTTTGTTAATGAAAATAGTCGTTCATTGTTAGTTCATGTTAATTCACAGTGCATTAACTAATGTTAACAAGCACAACTTTTGATTTTAATAATGCATTAGTAAATGTTGAAATTAACTAAGATTAATAAATGCCGTAGAAGTATTGTTCATGCTTAGTTCATGTTAACTAAAGTAGTTAACTAATGTTAACTAATGAACCTTATTGTAAAGTGTTACCATAAAAACATAACAAAATTACTAAAAGTTCCATTTCAATGAAAACCAATTCAAAATATTAATAAAAAGCCATAATAGCATCTCAGTTATACTAATATATTTAATTTTATTAATATTTTGAACTCATTTTTATTTAATATTTTCTGTTTTTATTTTAATGTTAGTTAAAGTTTAGTCATTTTTCTGTGTTTTTGTCATTTAATGTGTCTATATGGCTTTCATTAATCTTTATTTTTAGTTATTTTAGTACATCGAGATAAACTAAATGAAAATGAGAAATGTTGTATTGGCAAGTTTTTTTTTTTTTTATATTATTTTATAGTTTTAGATTTAGTTAACTAACCCTGATACTAAAATAGCACTGCTGGTGACTGTGGTAGACGGCCATCATATATGTGTGTTATTACATGATAACTGAGATAAACTATTACACTCTAAAAAATGCTGGGTTAAATACAACCCAGTGCTGGGTAAAATAGGGACAAACCCAGCAATTGGGCTGTTTTGAGTCAGCGGTTGGGTTACTACCCAGAAGGTTGGGTTAAACATTTAAACATTTAACCCAACCGCTGGGTCAAAACAGCCCAATTGCTGGGTTTGTCCCTATTTTACCCAGCACTGGGTTGTATTTAACCCAGCATTTTTTAGAGTGTATGAACAACACAAACTTCATAAAACCAACAGGCTAAACAAACACTGAAGACTTAAGAACTGAGCCATTAATCTTCACAAACATAAAAGAGAGGGCCAGTCTGCTGTTGGGTTTGTTTCACAATCTCAAACTCATAATGAACTGCACTTTTTTCATCTTTTATAGTGATTCATAAGCAGACAGACTTCTTACCAGCAACAGAAATGCGCTTCACAGCCGCTGGCCAATCAGCGTCCAGCTTCCCCTCCTCTTTTTCTCCTCAGATGAGAGCTGCTCTCTGATTGGCCGATGAGCTTCACCACGGTGATGGAATGTGGGACAAAGGGGTTCCCTGATGAGCGTCAGTCTATAGCGATCACGTGATCTCTGGAATCAGGCGCTACTCATCAAAGCCGCCGGAAACTAGACGCTACATATTAAAGTAATATAAACATCTAATACAGATGGTGCGTGTTTTATTGATGTGTTGTATGTATTAATGCGCGTGTGCTTGTGGCAGCACCTGCAGTAAATCTGAGTGTTGCTGTTGGTCTCACGGACGCGTGTCGCCCTCTAGCGGCCTAATGTAAAACAACTACATACTTTTAAGGGGTATTTCACTCATAAATTATCATTCTGTTATCTTTTACTCACCCTCGTATTGTTCAAAACTGCAATACTTACTTCCCAGACAGCACACGCATACGTCTGTTAAAGATCGCGAAAGCATCTGCTGTGCACAAACATTTTTCATGCATTCTAAATCATAAAGACATCTTCTAAACGTCTGTTTGACATCTGATAGGAAACGTCCTTTAGATGTATTGCAGATGAGCAAACGCTCTAAAAAACACGTCTTGCAGATGTAATGCAGACGTCAGATAGACGTGATGTACGTGTGCTATCAGTGAGGAACAGACCGAAGTCAATAAAGTTTGTCCTTTTTATTGTTTAACAAGTTTTAAAGTGCATTTCAATAAATACCAAGAATGCACCGAATAAAATGTTCTATCCGCCTTATTTTGTAATGTGCTTTGAATGAATCACTATCTAATCAGGTCCGCTTTATTACTACAGCGCTTATACAGTGCAGATTGTTTCAAGCAGCTTCACTGTAATAAACAGGAAAATAACAGAATCAATTATGGAAACTCAATTATGGAGACAATTCAGAAAGCAGCTCTAAAAAGACAAAAGTGTCACTGTTCAGCTCAAGGAGAACTAGAAGAATAACTAAATGCGCTAAACGGAAAGCTATTTATACAAACCAGCGTGATTATAATTATGATAATGGGTACATTGAAATAATCAGATAACAGTTCGCAACATCAAGCAGTTTTTGTAATAAATGGAAGCGAATGACAACTCGCAGCACAAGTTAAAAATAACGTGAATGT